TTCAAAAATAAATGTTCTTTTGTTTTGAAACTAGAACAAAGTTTTACAACTCACTTATAAATCAGTGGAGAAACTAGACATGGCTATCATGGCTGCAGTCCTCACTGCAGTGTGAAAGGCAGTACGACCACTGCATATCAAAATGTCTATTAAGAGTGAAAAACTAGAGACACTTTAGAAGCACGTCTAATACACAAGGAAGCAACAAAAAATGTGTGTTCAAAATAATTTAAAATGTTTTGCCTTTATCATACATGATACCATCTTGATCTTCTCATTTATTTAAAAATGGAACAAAATCTGCCCAATCTGATACCGTTCCTGCTCAGGAAATCTCTAAAGGTCACAAATAACTTAATGGCAGAGATGCAGTTCCCTTGGTCTCAGTGAGACTATACTTCATTTCTTTTTACCTATGCCTATGTGCTTTCCTGTACAGAAGCTATGTGTCTCCACATCCAGTGAGAAAAAATAAATTCCATTTAGGTGCAAAATAAACCCTTTCAGGTCCAGAATGACAGACCACATATAAATGAAGTGACAAATGTGGCCTGACGTTCACAGAGCAAGAATGGTCTGATAGCATAACAGGTATAACAGGTATGCATAAGAAGTTTCCATAAGAGGGAGTCCAGCTCTGTAGCCCAGGGGACCTGACCTCTGGGGCATAACCAGAAGATGCTGAACAGCCGTGGCCAGGCTTCAGTGTGAGGAACAGGAGGCCTTGCTGCTCTGAAACACAGAGGGTGGAGATGGAATTGTATCACCATCAGCACTTTGTGAGACAGGTTACTGGTTAAAGCCCTCTGGGAATTGTCAGCACAGGCTGCAACACTTCCTCCAAATACAGGAACTGAAGTGTCATTTCTTACAGAATTGCTCAGTCCCAGAAGAGTCTGTGTCCATTGATCAGGTAAAGAGCCTAAAACCTAATTTCCTGTCGGAGCTAGGTGTCCATTTTCCGGGTGTTCTGATGTCACTGCTACGAATCTTCAAGGAATCTGAAATCCTTGATCATCTGTAGATGCAAATGGTGATTTTTCTTCAAATATTGTTGGTTGACAGGCTTTACATCATGGTGTTTTAGAGGAAAGACGAAGACTTCAGTAACCTGAGAGCGCATTGTAAGACATACATTTGCCCCGACCTTCCTCTTTGTAGCATAACCTACAGTGTAAAGTGCTCTATTTTATATGTAAAGGAAAGCTGACATTTTAAACTGAGTAGGTTTGTTGAAGTAGACTTATTTCTGCTTCACTTGTGCCGTCGATTCCAGCATTTTTAAGAGGGCCTTGGGGATACTACTTCTAATTACAGATGTAAACCTCCATTAATGTTACATGTTCAAAATCCTAGTAAGAAACTAGTTTTGAGGCATCATAAAGGATATGCATCGTGTATGATGGAAAAAAAAGTTTCATAAACACCTTTCAGTAGTCAGTGTTTGTTTTCTGTGCATGTGAGCATGCCACATACTGCCTTTATGACAAGTTTTTTTCATGTGTATGCAGCAGCTTAATCTTTAGAGCACTCAAAGTCCTTGAAGGCACTGGGTAGTGGGTAAGTTAGCCAAGTAATCTTTGCAAACAAATTATATTCAGTATTGGATCAACTTGAGTAGGGGTTGGCTGAAAAATTGGATGGCTCAATTCTGCCAATCCTTTTTTTCTCTGTCCAACCCTCTAATCTTCCTACGTGCTTCAGTTTTTCAGTGTGGTCTGCATGGACTGTTCCATGTGCTGCAAATAGCTCTTTGAAGGATCATGGTTTTGTGAAATTTCATGCAGAGGTTTTCTTTTGGAGAATATTGCTATCAGTGGAACACTGGACTGTTCTTCATTTGCTACTTGTAGTGCACACCAAAGTGACACTGTATTCATCGCAAATTCCATAAACAGAAAATTATCTCAATCTAATAAAAATAGTAATGTATGCTACGTTGAATTTGCTGGGCATAATGCAGCACACAGCCGCATAATGTGGCTATTTAATTAATATAATATATTCCTTTCTACATGCTGCTGTATAATTAACAGTTCCCGCTGAGAAATGTACTGTAGGTACAATTGAAATGGATGAGACTAATGAACAAGGATATTTGCATTTCATTACTATGTTGTATAATTTCACTCATAAAACTTTATGGAATTAATTTAACATTATTTTCTGCAGATGATCATAACAATAACTTTTGAACTAATACAAGAAAAGTTGATTCAAAACATAATCAAAAAACACTCAAGTTCTTCAAATCACAAAAGCTTCAGATTTCATGCGAAACCCAGCTTTTTGTGTCTAAATTGTTTTTAGGGGGCTTTGTTGATCAAGTACAGCTCTAACATACTGTTAGCTGAAGTGAAAAGCAAGATTCTTGTCCACTTTATTCTCTCATCTCTCTAATCGCTAATGATCTTCTGGAAGAAAAGAAAGGGAATTTAATTCTCAAAGCAACCATATAATTTGATGGAAAAGCTCCCTGGAAAATTAATTATTTCTTGTGTAGAAAATGATCCAGGCATGCATTGGATGTAAATGCAATTTTCAGTTCTGTTGTTTGCAATTATGGATGTGATATGCTGAGCTACAGGACATAAATTCTTGTTTCAGAAGCAGCCCTTAGAGACAAGATCACAAATGAGAAGGAAGAGGTTATGAAGACAATCAGCTCTGTCCAGATTAGTCAAATGTCTTTTTGCAGACAGGTGCACACACTTTGTAGTAGACCAGAAAAAGGCACTATGACTGAAAATCACTCCTCAGATTTTAATCTCCTTCTCTGGTGTGAGAGTGTAAAAAGTTTCATTTTGTCTTTTGGCAAATGATACTTACCTCGACATGAGGTTCCCCCTAATGAAATTGATCCTTCACTAGCATCTGCCCCAAAGTGTCACCGGGAGACAAAGCCATACTAGACAGTAAGGACCCTCAGGGCGTCCCCCTCCATGGAGCCTCCTCCAGATGTGCACCCTCTGTGCAGCTGGATGCCTGCGCCTCTGCTCTCGCGACCGTGGGTGAAGGGAGCAGTGAGCCTCAGTAACACCTGCTCACCTGTGGCACCCCTTCAGAGGACATGCTGACTTTGCTGCAGCTTTACTTAATGGCCTTGAGCAAGTAGACTTGTGGGTCCTCCCACCCAGTAAATGACACTTCCCAGTGTCATTCAGTTGCCAGAACCAACTGAATGACAGCACGGATGTCTGGGTGATGTCAAAAAAACAACAGAGCTATACATTTCCAGTGGAAGAAGAGGTCTGCTTGATAACTTCCCCTGTCAGCATATTTTCTATTGGGAACAAGGGAAAAGATGGGGCTTAGTAATTCCAGCATTTCCCATTACTCCTGAAGGTAATTTTGCACCTTGCTGGAAAAGATTCCTTTGCAGCTGGTGCAGCTCTGTGGATATTGTTGCGTATTTAGGAATTGTCTGCACTGCAGAGGTTAAATGAATAAATCTACTTTTTGTCTAGTGGGTATATGTGTGTTGCAACAAAATCCTGCCTTCCCTTCAAGACAAAATGCCTGATTAAAGTGTAGCAATGCCTATACAGTGGTTGATCTGTCTGTGGGAAATTGCCTACACAAAATTGCCCACCCATCACAAGCACAGGTACCTTAGTACCAATTTTTGTTCTAACTTAATTTAGACTAACTTGTGTGGATTTAATGTGAACATGCATAACTCAGACTGATTCTTGAGTGAGGATACAGCAGTAGAAGAGTTCCCATGTGAAGTGAGATCTCTTTTTATGAGTAAGTGAAGGCAGATTTTTGCAGTGTTTAAGGCCAAAAAAGGACATTGTTTTTTTGGGGGGGTTTAATTTCAATGCACTTATTCTTAAATCAAACTCCAGATCCTCTGAAAGAAGTAGAGCACAGATGTATTTCACACATGTAAAGTTTCAGCTCAAATAAGGAAAAGAAGCCAGAGAGGCTTTTAGGCTCATGGCTTTTCTGGGGTTTTAGCAGATGTAGAAAATCGAAAGAGATAGCAGAGCAGTGCATTTCTTTGATGTGCTGAAGATTTGTAAAATTTTCTGTCTGCATTCACCTGTCAGGAAGATAGAACTGACATGAGCTCCCATTTTCATGTGAATTTTGATTGACAAGGTTGTTTGTTGTACTTAACTCAGGTGTCATATCTGTGTATAACAAGGCTTTTGACTGATTATTATGCTGGTAACATTATGCTGCATCTCAGAGAAGAGCTTAGAAGACTGCAAAGATCTGAGGATTATTCAGGGCATACAAAATCTTGTGTTTCAAAAGAGTTCCCCTTTTAAAAAAGCAAGAGGAAATTTGACAAGCTAGCTTGATTATGTTTTAGCCCTTGGTCTGATTTTTGTATTGAAAGATAGTAGTGCAGAAACTGTGTGTGAAAGACCTAAATCTAAAGCAAGTTTTCCCAGTAATATCTGAGGATTTATTGTTACTGTGGCCGTGGTAGAGTAGAATGGTTTTATACAAGAGTATATGTTCTCTCCCTCAGCAGCCTTAGCCACTTAATTTTTTCATAACATAACCTATTATTATCCTTCTTAAATGTCAGAAATTGTAAGGAAATACACAACAAGTGTCACCCTTCCTCAGCTATAACATGGCCAGTACCATAAAACCCCACCACCTGCTCCAAGATACGTGCCTGGTGAGGGAGATCAGTCCAGGCCTCACAATTTTTATCCTGAGAGTTTTTTCCTCAAAAAACTATAAGTCAGCCAACAATGTCCTGAGCTTTCTGGAAACACTTTTCAGATTTCCCCTCCCATGAGAAGCTAGTTGTGATTGTCTACTATATTGCTGGCCTTTACATTCAACCCATTGTTTTTCCAGAATGTGCTCATTTCCTCTATGTAATTTCAATGAAGAATTTGCTGAAAGTATTTGCCACTGTTTTTCAGGTTTTTCTCTCCTTTTTGGCAAATGAATAGCTCTGTGGCAAAACCCCCAAAACAGTTAAATTAGGGAGAGGTTTAATTTTTTTAATTAAATTTTTTATTTTCTGTTGGTGCGTTTATTTGATTCTCCTTTATAACTACAGCCTTCTTAACTAAATTGAGCTATCTGCATTCTGGCTTACTAACTTGGAATGACAGAGAATGAAGGGATATGCACATCTTGAGATCAAAAAATGTCTTATCTACTAAGGCTGCATTTCACCTTTCTTGATTTATTTGTCTACTTTAATTATTAAAATTAATATTAAAATATTATTATTATTAAAACCAAGTTCGATTTCTATTTTTTTGTAAATTAAAGTGGAAAGAAGCTGCTGTAGTAACCTCTAGCCTTCATTAAGGTGTGCAAAATGTGCAGGAAATGTAACTGAACTATTTAGATGATTCTTCCAGTGAATTCATCCAGAAATAACAATGACCAATGGCTATAGTACTCAGCTTGTATGAGGGAAAGTGGATTTCTTTACTGATTTTGCCACAGAAAAATGGTGTAGTCTTTTAAAAATGAGGTCTCTGATTCAGTTTCATCCTCCGGGAGACAGACATTTTGCTACCTTTTTCTCTGAAAACAGAAAATCAGAATGTGCTGACAGACAGAGACACTATTTCTCAGCTGTTAATGATAATCTGAGACACACCAGATAAAAGAGATGTTAGAACTTGACACCTTTCTTTTATTGTTACGGCATTCTCTGCAGGACAAATGCATTTGTCACAAAAACCTCTACAAACTTGGAGAAACCAAGTTCCAATCTGGACTTCAATTTTAACATCTGTAGTTAGAAATATTTCTAAATTGTAACAAAACCACATTTTCATTCCCACATAGAGATAATAGTTGTGATTCTTTTTTTACTGTTTGAAGCTGAACACCACTTCTAGTGAGAAGAGAAAATCCAAGCAACTCTGACCTACATCAGTTCCCTGTTCAGAATGCCTTCCTGCCTCTTTGGTATCCTCAGAAAACAGGATATTCTGAAAGGCTGTCTTGCAGATTTGAGGAGAAACCATCTAATCTCCATAATATGCATTTTAAAAATTCCTGTTTCAGTATGTCCAATGTATTTGTAACTTTAACAGCTATATTTTCTGAAGACAGCATCCTCACTGGAAGCTCTCAAACCTTTGCCAGCTCTCAATGATCCAGCTCATATGTGTTGACATGAGATGATACAGCCAGAGGCTTCAGGAGCCAGATGACATAGGGAGACGTTTTTGCAAGTGGAGTTGACAGATTTTAGGAACTCTCTAAACACAGGCAAAGATACAGTTTTAGAGAGGAAACATTGTTTATTCTGTGCAGAGTCTAAGGTGGAAGTTTTCAACAAATTAAGCACACTAGGGGGTAAAAAGCAAAAGGATGTATACATTGAAATCTACATAAACTCACCTACCAAGTTCAGAGCTGTCGTCCACCAAAGGCGCAGTCATTTATCTTGCACACTCTTATGCAATACTCGTTTGTGTGCCTGCGTGGGCCTCTCTGGGGTCTCTGGTGCTCCTTTGGGGATGTGTCCCCTACTCAGTTCCAAGCAAAGTGCAGCTCAGGCTGTGCAGAACACAAGATTGGGTGCCAAATACGATATGATCTTCAGCTCTGGAGCCTAAGCAATTGCCAAGCAGGACTAAAAATATAAAAGCTTTCCATAAACATTAAGCAACACTTGCTTAACACCCGATAGCATCTATTTGCATTCAAGAGGGGTTAGAGGTGAGAATGATACCATCAGCTTCCAGCTACAAGAGAGATCAAAGAAAATGTGATTTAGAAATGGTGCTCCCTAATTTAGTTCTCTCAACGAGATTCTCCCAAACCTGATGCTGCTTGCTCACTCCCCCTCCTTCCCCCCCCATTCCTGCTCCAGGGATGGAGTTGAGAATTGGAGGCACATAAAAGTGAAAATCCAGAGCCGAAACAGCAATGAAACAAGAAAATGAGCAGTAGCAGCAACAATACTAATGACAAAAGGTATAAGAGAAACAAACTATTTACACAGAAAGTAAAACACCAGACTGTTTGTCGCTGCTCTCCGTGAGAAATGAGAGAGCTCCTGCCCCTAGCAAGTGACATGGATGGTATTGAAAAACATCAGGGTTTGGCCAGGCTCCCCTCATGCTCTGTAAAAAACTAACCCTGTCCTGGCCAAAACTAGAACAAGAAGGGACAGAGAACTGTGCTTAAGTGGGATGGAGCTGAGCAACGGGCTGTCCCTCCTGCCTTTTCATTGCTGTCCAAATTGATAAAGGAAGCAAAGGGAATGAGAGAAATGAGATTTTTCAGGTGTAGGAAAAAGAGATTTGAGATATGACAACCATGAGTCTAGTCAGGATTGGGTAATAAGGAGGATTATGAGTGAGAGGAGGTAGTAGGACATATTTAGAACCATGTAGCTACAGGTATCAGCTATAGCTGATATCAGATGAGGCAGGAGAGACTGTCACCGTAAGCATACGATGTCTTTCATTGTTGAAAGGTAATGATGGCATTTCAACAACATGTTATAGGATAATTATTTAGTTTGTGAGCTAAATTATTTATGTAGAGTAGATAAGTGGCAAAACACATGGCTGTGTTTCCTGAGGAACGCTTGTGCTTGTTTTAATGCTTTTCCTTATTTTTAATTACATCTCTTTTCTGAATTTTCATGGCAGTTATAAATTTATCTTGTTCCTTTACATCTAATTTACCCTTAGTACAAAGTTATTGAAGAAGTTGCTTAATGAATCTAAACCTTACTGCTTGTCCAGCAATCACACAATGTGTGTTTGTGACTTGCAGATGTTCCTGGAGATAAGCAGTCATTATGTTGGAAATTTTATTTTTACAGGTGGCAACAACACATCCATTGAGTGTCAATAGTGATTTTTTGCTTACTGGATTTTTATTCTCATAGTGTTGGGGGTTTTGATCTGATTCTGTCTGTAGCTCAAATTCTCCTAAGTCTGAGGAGATTTCCATTTATATTCACATGATGACCTTGGCCTGTGTTTTTTCATTTGATACATTAATATAATTCTGTACCTTATTCATTAGTTTCAATCTCTATTAGCAAAAGGGACATTGCAAAACCATTACAGCTCTTCTGTTTGATAATTAGTACTGTTACAAATTTCTTTTAAATTAAGACAATAGATTGGTGGATTCTGTCAGTAGTTCTACATAATTACTAATCATTATTAAAACAATTAGTTTTAAAATTAAATTTAAATAAAATTTAAACAGTCAAACCTGTAATGAACCCTTACTGCATAAATGAACATTACATTTGTGTGACACTACAAAAGGATGAAAATAAAAGGAGAGGTATGAATAGGAAGATAAGAACAAAAAACAAATCTCATGCAGTAAGAAACAGAAAGCCAAGGAAATAATGCGGAGAGAAAGATACCGTTTTATCACAAATGGCATTTTCACCAGACTCAGAAAGTGAGCTGTGAAAAGCAAAGTGCAATGGACAGGTGTTCAGTTTAAAACTTCAGGAGTGGGAAAGAGTTTCATAGAGTAATCTTTTTGTAGCTATATACAAATAGCTTTTCTTATACACTTGATACTAACACAGAAGTGGAACAGTCAGAAAGCTAAAGTGATCTTTTTTTTATTTTTTCAATAATACTTGAAGCTACTCTTGAAAAGCTTGATTTTTCTTATGTTACCATAATTGCCTCAAGTGCTGCCATCTTCAGCTCCTTCTCTACTGCCTTTTTTGCTGAGTTAGTGGATACACAGATAAGTACCATGAAGATAAGACAGGAAGAATTTCCCCTGTTCTTGATTGAAATTCTACAAGTCATATCAACACACTCTTCCTGCACATTTGTGGAGTAGACAGTCTCCAAATATCATGTTATCTTCTGCCCCATGTAAATAAATACAGACAATACAGATGAGGTTGTAAAACCCTGTTGCATTTTATATCTTGCCTGATCTTTCAAAAAACTGGGATAGAGGGAAATTAATAAGAAACCAAGTACCCATTAGCCACTGCTGCTAACAAATACTTCCTCAATACATGCAGGAGGTTGGTTCCAGGTAGAGATGCCTTTTTGCTTGTTTAACACTGGTGGTAAAGACTTGTCCAGGGGGCCGCTTCTCACAGAAGAACTTGTGAAGAGTGAAGTGTGCCAGGTTAATACACTTCAGAAGGACAAGGATCTGAGGACATTTAAGATTAGCAGGCAATTTAGAGGAGGGGAAAACAGTGGTGTAAATGGAGGGATGATGGGAAGACCGAAAGGAAACAAATAATTGATGGAAAATCAAGAACTATAAAAATTTATAAAGGTAAAAAAAATTAAATCTAGATGGGAGGAGACGTGAGACATGGAAGGAGATATTGCTACTCTTTTGGACCCTCTTCCTAGTATACTGTCAAAATGTTTTTTACCCTAATAATTGTCATAGGTAGGGGAACTTCATGCAAGTTTGGCATTTTGTGGACCATGTCAAAGTGTCTTGGGAATCTGTAGTAGTTTTTCAGGGTAAAGAAAAAATTAATTCATTTTGTTAATGTTATTTCACTGTCATGAAAATCTATGTAATAATTATCTTCCTCAGCAACAGAAATCTTATAAATGGAAAAAGAAAGCAAATAAAGGTGAAACATATATTTGCATATTATGATATTTGCAAAGCAAACAGACATGGTCATGCAATTGTATTTACTATATTTTACCCAAATACAGTGTATCTACAATAGGTTGTAATTTAGGTGACAAAAGCCCTTGCAAAGGGCATTTCTGAAAGGCAGAAAATAGAAGCAATAACTGTAAGAGAACAGAACCACAAATATTTTTATCTATCCAGTCTTAGACATCAGTCTTCATGATTTTTGCTTTAATTCATTTTTAGTAGCTTTATTTAAAAAAAAAAAAATTATTCCAGGGCTGTTGTATTCAATCATAGTATCAATGTGTATCACCAAAGAATATAATTAGCAGCTAAGAATTTGAAGCAAAGAGGCTTCACTTGTTTCACAAAATGAAGGAAAGAAAAATAATGCTCAGATCCCCATAGTGAATCCTCCAGGACATTCAATATAGTCAAATTGAACTTTGTGAGCATCAGACCAGCAGCTCAAGCAGCCATGGGAAAGACAGGAACATTCTTCTTTCAAAACAGTACAAGTGCTCTAACAGTGCAGCTGCAGAGAAAGGAGGTTTCAAAGCACACTTGAAACAAATCCATGCTGAATTTCAGCAGGCAAATGCTACTGTGAAGAGAGCTTGTCCAAAAGAGAAACTGATCTTGTTATTAAATCTCATTTCTAATAAAGACAGATTCAAAACCTTGCATCTAAACATCCTGGAATTACTTTGTTTCTAGAAATTAAAACCACTATTTGGATTTCTGCCAGAACAAATGATAAATGTGAGCAGTTACATTAGTATTAACTTCTCCAGAATAGGTATGAAGCCTCAGGGAAGAAAATAATTTATAAGCATGAAGGAGGAAGTAGGAAAGAATTAATGTAGCCCAAAGACTGCCCACCAAATCTTAAAAAAAGGGAAAATATTTTGAATTATTTAGCTTCCACCTTTAGTTTTTAACTCCAGATCATATACTAATGTTTTCTGATTTTAGATATGGTACTCTTGATTATTAGAATTCAGATTATTTTCTTCTCAGAAAGTTAATATGCCATCAATTACAGATCACTAAGTGCTCATGAGCACAAATTAACCATTAAAGACCTTGCAGCATTGCCAGGATGCTGTAACTTGGAATATATAGTATTTTGGAACACAATAATCGAACATTAAAACAATGTAATCAAGTATGCACGTTGCCAATAATGTATGTGCCTTTTCTCACATCTTAAGCCTTGTCTAGATGCTTTTCTAAGATCTCTAATATATGTGCTTAATTTTGCCAGTTAGTGAAAAGCACAGAATACAGATGTCTTGTTTTCAGAAGGAGTACTGACTGGTCAGCTACTCTTACCCACCCTCTCCTCTTCAGTCCAGACTTTTTCCAGGAAAGCATGAGAAAGGTTTAATTGCAGAATTCTTTCAAAGACATTTTTAGTTGCCTGGTCTCTGTGCAAGATTGGGGTGCTAAAGAGAGGTAAGTGTTTGCTCACAGCCCTGATTTAGTAGTGTAATCTCTGGAAAGGGCTGGGTTGATGGTATTCTTCTGCTTGCTCTTTGCTTTCCCTGTTTCCTTAGGTATGTCCTCTCCATGATTAGTATGCTGCTTGTTTGGCTTGTCCCTGTGAGGCATTGATTAGGGTGCTTGGACACTGCGATTTTGCTTCTCAGGGAAGGACTGAGCACTGAAAATCTGAGTAGTGCAGCCCAGCAGAAATGAATTTACAGGTTATCATGAACTGATCCTTCCCTAACTCATCCTTCCTGCCCAGAGGGAAGTGTGAATAGCTGCCCTATTAGTGGGGTGCCTGAGTATTTCATGAGGTCTGGCTTCATCATTATGATTGAAAAAACTTTTTCTGGTGGCTGTAAATCCTATCCACTCAATTAAAGTAACACACTGTTAAAATAGTTTTCTACTATACCAAAATGGAGTTGAATTGGTGACAACCAATATGTTAAATGTGATCTTCTATATGATGCAGTAATGACTGCAACTTGTCACAAGAATATGATAATTTGCAAAGTGGACAGCTAACCAGTTGAGCTGGTCTATACTGCCTCTGTCTATTAGATATGATTTAGATACTGCAGAGTCCTCATATCCATAACTGGGATATAAATCTACTGTGTGGGGAGACAGTTAAAAG